ACCTCTTTTCCTGTTGCCTTCAGACTCAGTTTGCATGTTAGTCTAGTTCTCAAGTGTTAGCCTAGCGGGACATGCTGGGCACTGGACTTCAGCCTGCTACTTCGGCTGAATGTCGGCATCACTAGGTGATTCTACTCTCTCACAGTCTGCCATCCAATAATACAGCTGAACACATAAATTTCTATCCAGAAATGTCTTTGAGATTACAAGTAGCTAATATAGGAACTAAGCCATGCTTCTTCCAGACACCCAGGAGATAAGCTAACAATGAGGCTTTCTAGGTTAATATTAGGCACAAGGCAATCACTATCCCTTATGCTAGACCTGCATAACTTTGGGACTTTTCTTTTGAATACAGCAGGAGAGTTAACTAAATTAGCCCTAAACTTCGTAAAACAAAACAAAATAAATATATATGAAGCACAGATGACAGCTGCTGTTTAAACAGTAACATAACTGGAAAGCTGATGGATTTATATAAATAGCGGAGATGCTAGAAAGAGTGTGAAATGTATGTAGGGATACAGAGATTCATGTCTCAATCCTTCTCTTCCTTTCAGTGCCATGCTCTGCAACATATTTTTACACTATAACACTAAATCTTCATTTAAAAAATCTAATTTTTCCCAGTTGCCCTAATGAAATATTTGATACCAGATGGCAATCTAGTGTATTTTCAAATTAAAACAAAATTAAAAAGATTATCAAAATGTGGTTTTTAACATGTTTGCTATAACATGCCATAGAAAAAATAAGCTTAGTAAAATGATACCTTGATTTAAGATTTTTTCATTTTGTGACCGAGCTCTTAACTCAAAATGTTCGTATCTCAAAGTGAATTTGCCCATTGAAATGCATTAAAATGTTATTAATCCATTCTGAACCCCTCCCCAATTTTTGTTACATGTTTTTAAATAAGAAAACATACTTTATAAACAACAAATAATGTATTAATGCACATTCACATGGAACAATAAAAAGAAAGATCACCTTTGAAATGGTAGAAGCACAAATTTGTGTCAAGGTAGCCCAAAGCAAAGAGGTACTATAGAAGCATCATTTTCTTTATACTGTACTCATTCCAACCTTCCTCCCTCTCTTGCTCTCTCTCCCTCTCTCTCTTCATGAAGCCTAATATGCAAGGAATAAAAACCACACAAAATAAACTAACCTAGGGTTCCTCAAAGTGGACTAGTGCAAAATGGATGACAATCTCCCAAAGCGAACAAGAACAAAGCAGACAGCTGTCTCCCAAAATGGACAAGAGCATGAGGCACAAGGCATGGGGCACGAGGCATTGGGGCTTCTCCCTTGAAGCCCTCAAGACCTTTGCTCTAGCACTAGCACACCCACTGGCATGAGCTCTTAACTCAAAATGCTTCTCTTAAGGCAAAGTGAAACCCAGGCTGTGTGACAACTCTTAACTCAAAACACTTCAGTTTGGATGCTCTTAAGTCGAGGTGCCACTGTATTAACAATTCAGACCTTTGACTAAATATGTAGCATTTGGGCAAAGAGTTTTCAATTATTATCTGAAACAAAAGAAACAGAAGGAATAGATTTATGGATGCAATTTGGCCCGGCAGAAATAGAGAAAAACCATCAACAACTACATGTAAGTAAGGAATCAGAATTTAATAAATAATTATTAATTGTGCGTCAGTTTGGAAAATGATTCAGTTGGCATAAAATGAAAGCATAAAACTGCATTGTATCCTGCCCCCCCCCCCCAAAAAAACCCCACTACACTCACCAAAACAAATCTGTTACCAAGGATAATTTAGTAACAGCAGAAAGAACAAGCAAAGGAGATGGATTCTGGTAACCAGCGCAGGAAGCAGCTCCAATGAACAAGAAAAGGAAAAGATCAGAGGATGAACAAACAGCATGGAGATAGAAGAGTACTCCAGATAAAACTGGCTAGGAGCCTAATTTTTAGAAAGACATAGACAAGTTGGAGAGGGTTTTTAAAAAGGACTGTGTTTGAATCTTCTTCTCCAAGAATAGACCTTTTTTCTGACCTTGAATGGAGTATCCAATCAGTCTCATCGTACCTGAATGATCTCCTAGCTCTCTTGGAGACAATTGGATTACAGTTTGAGGGTCCTTTTACACTAAACAGTTATAGTGCTAGGATTTACTTGTGATGGATACATCCTATAGAATTCTGGAATTTGGAATTTAAGGAGGGTTTTTAAAAGATTTTCAGCCAGAAGTTCTAGTGAATGGCTAGATGACAAATCCCAGCAATAATAATAATAATGACTGAAGTAGATGTAGATATAGACATTTATGTGTATATCAAATGGCTCCTAGCAAATAATTGGTTGTATCTGAACCTGACATTCTAATATCAAATAGCCAGTGTCCATGTCTCTTCAAAATTATCATTTTTGTACTTTCCTTCCTTGGCTCTAATTCTATTCATTCATTTTGTCATATATGACATTATTGAAAAAAGACATACACATAATCAAATGTAGGTTGGAGCTATTGCTTCATGCTACAAGCTAAAAGCTACAAGATCTACAATTTCAGTATTCTGTTAACAAAAGGATAGCACTAATAAACTAACAGGTGATTTGTAGATTTTAGCCTGCAATTTAGTTTTGGTGTGTGTGAGAGAGAGAGAGTGCTGAGAGGTGACAGAGCAAGATCTTTTGGTCGTGATTTAGCAACTTTAGGTAAGGCTATATTCTATAAATGCCCTGCCTGACTTACTGGCCAGGGACATTGTGGCAGCTGGCACTCCCCCATGCACCATGCCCAACATGACCAATTTTAAGTACTAACAAAATTTGAAGAGGCTATCCTGGCATGATGTGAGTTGTAATTCACCCACAATCTTATGAATTTCCTAAATGGGACCATTCATAATTTTTTTAAAAAACCAAATGACTTTTTTAAATTACCCAGGCATCTCTGTCAGTAGTGCAAGAGAAATATAGACTTCTAATTTTACAGCTGTTCTGAAAGCCATAGAGGTAATAATGAAAGCAAGGATAATAGAATGCAATATCATGAATTTGAAGGAAGTCCCCAGTTTCTGTATTCACTGCATAGTTTCAAGATATATGTGAGAAGTCTGTAGTCCTCTAGATCTTGCTGGACTTTAACTTCTACAAGTTCTAACCACTGTAGTCAGTGATCAGGCATAATAGGAACTGTAAAGCAGTAATATCTGTAGGGGCATATATTGTCTATCCCCACCTTGAGCAAATCTTAAATGTTAAAGCTTTTTGTACTCCACTGTACATAGCAAGGCTTTTCCAAAAAAACATGAGATATTGCAGGAAACTGGGGGTCCTTCTACATTGCTCTTCACTAGATTATATAAATCTACACTGCCAAATAATCTGGAATAAGTAGATAATCTGGGATCAGATCCTGAGATGTAGGGCACTGTAGATTCAGTCTGGGTCACCGCATGGATAGTATGTGTTATTGTATCTTAATTACTAACAAGGCTCAAATACTACATATTAAGTAGAAGTAACTTTCAACACTATTTGTCTGAAGAGTGTGGATGTTGTAAAGACGATTTGTATTAAAGTGCAAGTATAAGCAAGCCCTTAATATTTAACATAAACCTAAAACTAATTTCATATACCACAAATGTTCCATGATCAATTTCAAAAGGCACATGGGCACTGTTCCATTATCTGAGAGGAGCTCAACCCCCATTTTCCTCTTATTCTTCCCACTCATGCCACAGTCATTGAAACAACAATTGTTTATGTGTGTGTGTTTGAATAAGCAGTGAAATGTGGAAAATGGTTTTCCTCCTTCAACTCCCCCCCCCCCCCCCTGTAAAATGGACTATCCTTCTTTGTCTAGGCTCCCTTTTGGAGTCTGACTGGATAAAAGAATAATACTGTCACATAATATCTGCAGAACACCGACAGTACCTGGTATTCATTAGTGGTCTACCATTCAAGTACTAACCAGGGGTTGTTTAGCTTCCAAGATCAGACCAACTTTCTCCGTTGTTACCTATTACTATAGAAAATTGATGTTATTTGGTAATTGGCACCCTTAGGATATTTAGGCCCAAATATGAAAGGTTATCCTAACTCAATTTGAGCCTTGTTCTTCCAAGGGGTTTTATGTTTGGCACCCCAAAATTGCTATGTTTCATTAAACAAAAACTATTAACTAAAGTTTGCTTATGTATCCTCTTGTACGTTTTTCACCATGCCATAATAACTGTATTTGTTGTCTACGTGAAATTCAGCCAGTGTAGCCATTTTCTTTGCTGTTTAACATTCTTGCACAATGTTACTTCTCATTAATGTTTACAATGGACAATTTGGTTCACTGGGCCCCTTCTACACTGCCATATAATCCAGATTATCAAAACGGATAATCAACATTATCTGCTTTGAAGTGGATCATCTGAGTTTACACTGCCAAATATAATCCAGTTCAAAGCAGATAATTTGGATTTTATATGGCAGTGTAGAAAGGGCCTAGCATTGCAGAAACACCAAGCAAGTTTACAGACACATTGTTGGTTACACAATAATGTGGTAAGCAGAAGTTAAGTGTAGTAGAACCACCACTTAATTGCACTATTCCAGCATAGGTCCCATCTACACACCATAAATGCAATTTCAAGCCATATCATATGACAATGTAAACAAGGAGCTAGACTACACTCTTGCCTTCCTATTGACTGTTCAATGATCCATTTCGCCCTGCCCTTGTCAGCACTGTCACACTAGCAAATCAGCCTACTGATTGATCCTGATAATCATAGTAGCATATTTGAAGAGAAGGGAAATCTTTATTGCATTCTTACAGCAAACACACCAGTAAAGATAAATAATGAGGTGATGAGAGCATGCTTTATTTATCATTCGTAAAATCTGGTGGCAAAAGCCGATATAGCCCTCCTCCACTTTAGGCATTTTTTGATATGCGTTGGTGTTGGAAACTTCCCTCTTATGGCCCCATACCTCTTTTACCCAATTTCTTTCAGTATTGCCTGCTTAAACCATTTATAGGGAGGAGTGACTAGTTGTTGCTACCACCACATTTGTTCTGGTTGTATCAGCCTTGCCTTTGGTTCCTTTCCGGTTTGTTTTTTCTTCTGCCTCTATTACTTCTGCCTGTGTTTTCCTAAAATAAGAAAAAGAATCTAATTCTGCAAATATTACTGCAGCAGAATGATGCTCCTAAATTAACTGGAATGACAAGACTGATAAAGGTCAAGATTGCCCACCTCAGATCATCAGCGGGAGTATTAAATGGACATAGTGTAAGGTTCGGCCTGGATTATTCCACAGCATGTGTCAAAAAGGTGTGAGAGTAGTAATATGCTCACTAACAAATAATTATAATTAAAGCAGCATCTGAGACAGCCTGCATGTGTCTTCATCATTCATCTTTTAAAAAGCAAGTTGTCTGATTAGAGATTTCATGCACAGATAGGGCTCAGTGTGAGTTACAAATTAGTAGATGTGTGAGAAAAAGAAAGAAAAGAAAAGATAACACTCAGGCAAGACTATTGTAGTAGAATATATGTTCATGTTCAGTGGCTGATTATGTTAAAACAAAAGGAATGTCATTTCTCAAGTAAAATAAATAAATAATGGAAGTTTAATGGAAATTGTTTTTGTCTGCAGTTGTGTTTTTTTCTAGGTGTGATGTCTGTAAGCTGCATTGTACACAATAGATCTTGTTTAGAGCAGGCAAGTATAAGCTTATAATGAAGACAAAATTTAAGAGGACGGGACTGGCAAAGGCACTTCTGAATATTCTTTATCTAAGAGAACCCTGTGTAATTCATGATATAAGCTTCAAGGAGCATGAAATCACATACACACCCCAAAAATTTAGTCTTCCATTAGGCCTTGGGATTGCTCACACAAACATGGTAATGGCACCTGGTGTTGTCGAGCCATGTCACCCCTCTCCCCAAATTGATCTGGACCCTCAGAGAGACTCCAAACAAGTGATACAATTTTTCCTTTATTTTAAAAACATTTTCTGCTGTTTTGAAGTTTCACAATATTGAAGCTGCTGGAGGCTCTGGAAGGAACTCAGCAGCAACTGTACCCCAAACTTGGATAACGTTTTTAACTAGGAGACTCAAATTGATATATGTTTTTATTGATATTGATTGTTTTACTTGGTTTTATATTTAAATTGATTGTTTTTAAATTGTATTTTATGTCTTTGATATTGACTGTAAACCACTCTTAGTTGTCTGTGGGCTAAGAGGGGCGGTATATAAATGTAGTAAATAAATAAATAATAAACTATATTATACCAAAAAACCTGTAATAAATGTATAAAATGATATTTCTTGTGTAACTTGCATTCATTGTGTACTGTGTCAATTGCTAAATGTATAAAACTGTATCAAGTATATTATGAAGACATCTGCTTCTGCTAATGCCCCTATTCACATAAGCTTATGGGAACGGAGATTGCTAAAACAATTAATATGGGCCCTCCATCAGTCTACCAGGTCAAATAAAACCAGTTTTCTTATATATATATGTGTGTGTGTAACACATAATACCTCTATTGTCCAAACTGTTTACTTGCTTAGAAATGACTGGGGGCTCATAGTCTCACGGAAGGAAAGGCTAAAGCAAATATGAATATATTAGCCTTCTGAAAGGGCAACCACGTGTCTGGTCTCACAGGATTATCATAGAATCATAGAATCAAAGAGTTGGAAGAGACCTCATGGGCCATCCAGTCCAACCCCCTGCCAAGAAGCAGGACTATTGCATTCAAATCACCCCTGACAGATGGCCATCCAGCCTCTGCTTAAAAGCTTCCAAAGAAGGAGCCTCCACCACACTCCGGGGCAGAGAGTTCCACTGCTGAACGGCTCTCACAGTCAGGAAGTTCTTCCTCATGTTCAGATGGAATCTCCTCTCTTGTAGTTTGAAGCCATTGTTCCGCGTCCTAGTCTCCAAGGAAGCAGAAAACAAGCTTGCTCCCTCCTCCCTGTGGCTTCCTCTCACATATTTATACATGGCTATCATATCTCCTCTCAGCCTTCTCTTCTTCAGGCTAAACATGCCCAGTTCCCTAAGCCGCTCCTCATAGGGCTTGTTCTCCAGACCCTTGATCATTTTAGTCGCCCTCCTCTGGACACATTCCAGCTTGTCAATATCTCTCTTGAATAGTGGTGCCCAGAATTGGACACAATATTCCAGGTGTGGTCTAACCAAAGCAGAATAGAGGGGTAGCATTACTTCCCTAGATCTAGACACTATGCTCCTATTGATGCAGGCCAAAATCCCATTGGCATTTTTGCCGCCACATCACATTGTTGGCTCATGTTTAACTTGTTGTCCACGAGGACTCCAAGATCTTTTTCACACGTACTGCTCTCGAGCCAGGCATCCCATTCTGTATCTTTGCATTTCGTTTTTCCTGTCAAAGTAGAGTATCTTGCATTTGTCACTGTTGAACTTCATTTTGTTAGTTTTGGCCCATCTCTCTAATCTGTCAAGATCGTTTTGAATTCTGCTCCTGTCCTCTGGAGTATTGGCTATCCCTCCCAATTTGGTGTCGTCTGCAAACTTGATGATCATGCCTTCTAGCCCTTCATCTAAGTCATTAATAAAGATGTTGAACAGGACCCGGCCCAGGACGGAACCTTGCGGCACTCCACTTGTCACTTCTTTCCAAGATGAAGAGGAAGCATTAGTGAGCACTCTCTGGGTTCGTCCACTTAACCAATTACAGATCCACCTCACCGTAGTTTTGCCTAGCCCACATTGGACTAGTTTCCTTGCCAGAAGGTCATGGGGGACCTTGTCGAAGGCCTTACTGAAATCCAGGTATGCTACATCCACGGCATTCCCCGCATCTACCCAGCTTGTCGCTCTATCGAAGAAAGAGATCAGATTAGTCTGGCATGACTTGTTTTTGATAAATCCATGTTGACTATTAGCGATGACTGCATTTGTTTCTAAGTGTTTGCAGACCGCTTCCTTAACAATCTTTTCCAGAATCTTGCCCGGTATCGACGTGAGGCTGACCGGACGGTAGTTGTTTGGGTCATCCTTTTCCCTTCTTGAAGATTGGGACCACATTGGCCCTCCTCCAATCTGCTGGAACTTCTCCCGTTCTCCAAGAACTCTCAAAGATGGTTGCCAATGGTTCCGAAATGACTTCCGCTAGTTCCTTCAATACTCTGGGGTGTAGTTGATCTGGCCCTGGGGACTTGAACTCATTAAGAGCGGCCAGGTATTCCTGGACGACTTCTTTCCCAATTTGGGGTTGGATGTCCTCCAATCCCTCATCCACTCCATCTTGCTGAGGTTGAAGACTCTCTTTTTGTGAGAAGACCGAGGCAAAGAAGGCATTAAGTAGTTCTGCCTTTTCCCTATACCCTGTCAGCATTGCCCCATCTTCTCCTCGAAGAGGTCCTATCGCCTCCTTGTTTTTCCTTTTTCTACTGACAATTACCTTTTGTTGTCTAGGTCTTGCACCCTTGTCTTCACTGAACTGAATACTTAGATCAATCAAGCAATCATCTGCATACCCATGCCATCATTTCCTTCAGTTTCACACCCTCCATGTGGGTGTCTCTGTAACAGATTGGACTTCTTAACCTACCAATAATCAGCTGTTCTTCATGCTGCCCTGGGGATCCCCTCCTCCTCTTTGTGACATCAGATAAACTTCCATCCAATCTCTGCATGGATCTTAGCCAGTCCATTTCTTAGCCAATCATTTCTGAATAGCTGTCAGAAATGTATAAAATGTCTTGCATTTTCTGTGGAGCAATGCTTGTACATTTTTGAGTGTTGGCTTGGTATTTGCATCCCTTTTGGCCAAAGTGTAATAAACCTCTACAAGTTTGCCTTTAACCCAGAGTGCTTGTTTTTTATCCTGGCTAAACTGATTTTTGGAGGTATGTTTTAATATGTATATTTTACAGAGTGTTTTAAATTGATTATGTGTTTGCTTATGTTTTAGTAAGCCAGTTCAAGCCGCGAGGAGAGGTGGACAAGAAACAGTTATTGTTATTTATCAGAAACTCACTGGGCACTGACCTTCTTATCCACTGTCTTAGCTGAAATCATTTCACTGGCATCATGAAATAATATTTGAAATGTTAAAACATTAAGAGTAAAGGAAGATGGGGTGTTTTGAGTAAAGTATATAGAGAAATATTATCCTTTTACAGAAATAAAAGATGCATTATATCCTCATAGAAACTGACAAGTTATGCAACAAAAAGAAAATTTGCCTCTGAAGCTCATGCCCAGGAGACCCTGGGAAAATATGAATAGTTTTGTCAGAAGATGTCTGTTATTATAATGGTTGGTATAAAGGTTAGTAACACCCTTGTGAATTTGGAAGAGTGAATCTGTTATTTACACAATACCATTCGGATTGCAAATGATGAAGGCAGAACCTAAGAGGGAATAAATTAATAAAGCATAAAACCCCAATCACATTCCATAGCCATTGTTAATAATTAAACCCAATCCATTGAAATGCATGTTTAATAACAGCATTAGAAATTAAATTAGTTCTTTAATTGCCATTTTCTCTGTTCATAATATCTCAGTGACACAGGGAGAAGAGATTTTCCCATGCTTATAGTTCATTCATTCTTCATGAGCAATGAGTGCTTGGCAATTCCTGAGTTCAGTGTATTTTTTCACTTCAAAAAAACCCCACCACCTTAGTTTATGGTAGGAACTAATGCATAAACCAAGATTGTTCTTATGTTGTTTTTAAGAAAGAAAAGCTTAAGGGGAGAGATGAGGAAATCTACCAGTTTCAGTTTCCTGCATTTACATTTTAAAAAACTCAGCTATTTCTTCAAAAACCGAAAAACAATTTGAAATGAATGTTTCACCTATTCACATCAGCCAAATGCAAAAGGAACAGCTATTCACCTAAAAGAAAAGACCATATAGTATCAAATTGCATGTTGCACCCTATTTCAGCACTAAGATGGTTGGATATACAGAGATTCTAACCCGAATTGCTAAGTGTCAAGTTCCAACTCCCCTCTACTCTCTGCTGTGGCACTACTACTTGCCTTTTTGAAATAGCAGTCGCAACAGCTTCTTGATATTTCCTCTAAAGGGTCTCTTGCTTTCCCCTCTCCATGGCTTCAAAATTTGGTCTCA